GGATGTGCGTAAATAAATACGTAAATTTAATAAAGCGACGTGTACCGTTTACGTGTAGAATATAATTATGTAACAAAGAAGGTTTCATTAGGCAAATTTAAAACTTTGTAATACCAGTATAAATTATCCTAATTTATTATAACTAATTTGAGATTCATGGTACTACACTCTTACATCTTCTTTTGTCTTCTTTCCTTAAAAGTGTTTTTTCTAATAATTTAATAGAAATTAAAATAAGAGTTGAATTGTACAAAATTATGAAATGTTGCGCCTACGACGTAGCGAATCGTAGCTGCGGCGTAGATCTTCTGGAATTAAATTCTTAGTACCAGTTCAAAGTATTATATAAAAATATTTCAAAATAATCTTTCGTATTATCGTTCGTGACTATTTTAATAACAATACAATGTTTATTACTTGTGTGAAAACACTCACAAATAGTGAGCGGATGAGAAGAAAAAATGTTCGGCTGTTTCATTTATTAATTTGATAATCACTGACTAACGTATATCTATAAAATTATTAAATAGATATTTGAATAGTTAAAAATCTTACTTGTTAATGACATAGCGTGATAGGTGCATGCATAGGAATGAGCAAAATCGATAATCACGGATGGGACACGATATTTTAAATGGCAAAATAATGGTATAGAATGCTCTGGTCATAGATTTGATTATTGTGTCATTATTATTTTATCATCCACGTGACAGAAATTAAACATTTTTGAATCTGCTTCAGCCCTACAAAAACGCACAAGTAACGCCTGATTGACGCTATGAAAAATGATGTGACTATTAATTTTGAAAAAGTACCAAAGGGTTGCAATTGTCGCGACGTCAGGAGACAATTTTATTACTTCGCGCCTTTGATACGCGAAACCGGATTTCGTGATCTTATATTGCTCCTTGAATCTTTGTGGACACTTGATTAGGGAGATCATACATTGATCGCATTACACGACTTGTCAGAAATGCTATTAATCTACGTCTTATTTTTTCAATGTGCTTCTGAGCGCTGCAGAAACTAACATCGTAGTACAGAAAAAAGTAGGTTTAGTAACATTTTTGTTTGGCCTTTTCTTTGTTACCTTCTGTACTCTAACATTAAGGAACATATTTATTTATTTCACAACACAGAATTATTAAACAGTAGAAAATCCATACGGGCAAGTATATATAGTTGGAAATAAGATACACTAGATGAGCCAGCGACTTCGTCTGCGTTGAATAGTTATTTTGGGTGTCAAAATTTGTTTTTGAAAATCTCCTCCTGATCTTAATTAATTTAATATTGCATGTATTTTAGCCTAAAACCATCCGCGATAGTGGTTCTAACCAATACAAAAAAATTCAATTTGATTCGTTGAAACAATATCTTCAATTTAAAAATCGAAAATAAATTGAAAAAATTTTCGACTCGGGCAGGACTTGAACCGGTATCGTCAGCTTTCCGTGCTGTTGCTCTACCAATTGAGATTTTTAAATTATATAGTGCCTTCATGTGCAATAACATGTGAAAAATATTAATGTTTTCAAACAATCTCTTCAGCTTTATAATATTAGTATAGGTTAAAAGATATCTGTACTTTTAAATAAAACACTTTAACGGTTTAAAACGCGATATATTAGTTCTATATCACGATATATATCGCGTTTAAACCGTTAGTGTTTTATTTAAATGTGCACTACTCGCGTAAACTATAGACAGTATTTAATATCTGTACTTACTAACTCAATATAGTTTCTTATATACCTAAAACAAATTTGATAAAACATAAATTATACTTATACATAAATTATTATAATAGTATTTATCTGTAAGACAATCTTTTAAATTTGCGATAATGGGTACAAATAAAAATAATATTCCCTCTAATAGTATGGGAAAAAATCGGAGACTTCAAAAAGTTCCAGTACACTGCCCCCACAGTCATAACATTTACAAGCACGAAAACATCTGCGCGACTATTTTACGATGATCAGAAGCTTAGGCGGAAGCGACAACATTTGGCGATCACCTTTCTTTAGAAAGCTGTAATCGCTAGTTGTAAAACATTTCATAAAACTAGAGTTATCGACATCTGCTGCGCAAGCGACGATCGTAGCGCACGTGTAGGGAACAGATAGGGCGAATCTGTGTTCCAGATTGGTCGACTTACCGAGGGCCTGGCATATGCGTCTAGCTGATAAGATATTGCGATATTTTTTCTAAGAACTCATAGATGAGGTATCAAGAAATTTCATACCAAAACAATCAATAGAACGAGAATGTGGGTTGTAATTTTTTTGATTATATTTAAATGTTACTCTCGGAATTATATAAAGGAGTACCAGAACACTTTTTATTTAGTTGACTATAACGGTTTAAAACGCACTCTCTTTGCAACAGCCGTGGTCACGGTTAGTCTCACCGAGACCATGGCTACTTCAAAGCATGCGAAACGTAGGGCCGAAATTAAAAATCATTTTCAAATAAGTTTAACTAATATATATCGCGTTTTAAGCCGTTAAAGTGTTCGCGCGTACTACTTGCGTAAACTACAGACTACCTTCAAATTTGGTTGAATTTTTCGAGTACCTTCAAATTACTATGACGTTAATAAGTTGTCTACAAAAGCTTAGGTATATTTGTGAATTAATTCGCGTTATTTTAAAGCTGTAATAAAAATAACGACATATTCGATCACAATCTATAAAGATTAAAGTGCTATCTAAAGTTTATTATATACTTATCAAAGTGATAATGTCTTAAGTACTTTGAGTGCATGAGCACCTTATTGAAATAACATTTTAATGGGTTAATTAAGTGTTTATCTTTCGAATAAGTGTGTCAATTGCCTTTGTTTTTATTTAAAATAAGTATTATTTCCCGATCAAATCGTAAAACGTGTCTTTTAAAAGTGTTTTTATTATAAACTAGCTGTGCCAGCGACTTCGTCAGCTAAGAATATTTTTTTTGGGTATACAAATTCGTTTTTGCAAACCCCTTTATTTTTATAGACTTAAGCTGTTACCCACGACGTCGGTCGCATCCTTTCCCGTCATTATTGCATTATTGCAAGTTCGCGGACTTTTTAGATCATTTAATAATATATTTCATACATGTTTTTTTTGGGTATCTTGAACCGTTTTACAGCTACGCATCGGAAACCCATAATGATTAATAATTTTTCCAAAAAAAATTCACATTTCTCGCTGAATCTTCGCTTGTAGTTCAAGTCGAAGTAGTAGTTCCTGAAATTAGCGTTAGTTAGTAGTTTCTAACAAACAAACAAAGTCTTCAGCTTAATATATTAGTATAGATTAACTTAGAAGAAAACAAATTAACGAGAATAATTATAACATATACTATAAGACATTCTTAAGCCCGCTTACATGGCTCTATAGTTAAAAGAGTTGCGCTTAGCGCTAAGCACTCGAGTCACAGGTTCAAATCAAATCCGAAGATTTGTCTTGTCATGCTTGAAAAAAATCTACACGTCATTATATCGTCTGTTTAATGTAGCAGTTTGAGTTGTTCATTCCTGCTGTGTGTTTTTTTTTTAATTAAATTTCTCTACTTATGCATTGGAAATAAAGTATACAAACGGTTATTTCTTTATTAAATATTTATTCATTACTTAAGGTTATCTTAACTATGCACTCACTCCATAGATATGCTAGACAGTGCAGTCTTAAATACTCTCTGTAGTCGAGTAGTAAACATTTAAGTTAAACACTTTTACGGTTATCGCCAAGTCAAACTTGTTTAAATAAAACACTGTGACGGTTTAAAATTAATTTGAGAACAAGTTCAACTAAAATATATCGCGTTTTAAACCGTTAAACTGTTTTATTTAAATGTGCAGGTATTACTCGCGTAAATCACAGACAATAGTCAAACTTGGATGCTTTGCAACAGTCGTGGTCACGACGAGACAACGTAATCTATCTATGTTTAAAAATTTCTTTGAAGCCATAGAAATTACTGTAGTGAAGTTTAGTTAGTTCCTATAGGTTCACTTCTAGTTTTAGTAGTCTAATGATATTGTCTTAGGTTTTGTTGGCGTTAGATATTTCCTTAGTATAATATTCGGTATCACTTCTTTCCTAACTTTACACATTATTGGATTTTCCTCAATGGAAAATATGGATTTTAATATGCTCTCTAGAGCTACATTAGATATTTCTAGATATTAATTTTGTTTAGCAATAAGCGAATGTTGACAGATGGTTGAATAGAGCTGGTAGCGCTATCTGTTAAATTAGAGATGTTTCGCTGATAAAAACATTGATATACGTAATGGAAGCGTATCATAGTAATCTGAAGTGTCGTATATATATGTATATATATATTATAAAATACTTCTGCTATTGGTAAAAACGAATCCTAGCATATTGCAAGAGTATCCTTAAAGCATTTAGATGGGCTGTGGTTTGAATAGTAGTTGTTTTGACGTTTCTTGAAAATTGACTTACCAGCGCATAGCACAGATTTGTATAGTAGAATTTTCCCAGCTTAATTAAATACACCCTAAAATGGCCGTAACTTACAAAGGGATTTTTTCAGCTAGTGTTTTACATTGTACCTCCACTTATATAAACGATTTCTTTGAACAGTCATCCTTTTTCATTTTGAAATTAAAATACCTCTTAACATATTATGCTCTTATTTAATGGTAATATATTATTTTGTACTTTTCAATTTGTTTTAAAAGCGACCGATCAAAATGTACCCCAAAGAAATAATAGTATTATCGAGTTCAAGATTATTTTTTTTTCAATGTGTAGTATAACTACCCCCGTAAACTTTATCAATAACCTTTCTCTGTAACCTTCAGTCTTCAAATCAGATTAAATGATACATCACGAATCTGCTGATCACATTTACAAATATGTTGCAGAAAATATTGGGAATCTAATAATCGGTTAAGGGTATTCATTGACATTAATTGTACTACACAACTATTTCTTTAAGTAATGCCGAATCGCGAATAAGACCGGCCATTATAAATAATAATGAATAATTACGGCGGAGGTTCTCACGACGATGATATCCTGTATGTTGGTAATGGAACAATCAGCGACCACGTGCACACAGCTGTGGAGATAAATTCAGGTGTGCGCGATTATATGGATACCGATTAAAGCTTGTCGCACACTTGTTTACCGCTCATGAAACGCCATATTTTTTCTTGTTTTTTCTAATGATAGAGAAGGACAACATGGCGTGGGTTTCACTCGATTGTAGGTAATACACCCCAGTCTATAGCTTCTAAACAAGATACGCCGTCAATATATGTTGTCTTTGGATATTCGGAAATCCACAGACTAAAACCGAAACGCGATTACGCTTCACGGCTTTTTCATTTGGTGACGGTTCGTGACCCCGACTGAATTTCTATATTCCTACCACCAGATTCCCAGAAGTCCAAAACGTTTCAGAAAAATTATAAATTGAAAAATCAGAAACTTGTTGGAGCTGGTGGGGATCGAATCCACGACCCGTTGATAATTAGCCATGCAATGCTACCATTAGTCCGGCGGGCGTCAATTCTATATTACATGTATTCCATATAAAATGTATAGAAATTACATATATGCTAGATGCGATTTTTTTATGACTAGATACAACAGATAAACATGGACTTGATGGAAGGTGAAAAGTCCTATAATATCCAAGATGTACCATTATAACCATTTCGTATGTTTATTCGATTATGTAGATCAACAGATTAAAAGAGAAACTTTACGTCTTTTCCATTGTTAGACGGTGTTTCGTTAGGCGAATTTTTAACACTTCTACAATGATTTTATATTGTATTCCAATAATTATAAGAACGAGAAAATCATTTATTTATAGTGGTTAATGTTGTAGGAATCCAGTCCGAGGTTAGTGGGCTATTGGCCATACATTGCTAGCATTGAATCAACGCGAACGCCGTTTTGCGCCTCTGTACGGTGGCCCTTATGTGTCTCTAGATGATGAGCGTTCACCATAAAACAAAAACGGCTCGATCTCTCGAAATTCGTTACGCAGTCTACTGCGAATGTTATCTAATCTCAGTCTATGGAAACGATTTAACATAATGTCTGTATCACACGTGATTTAATACGAATTCTATAACATATAACTATAATCAAAGTGAATAGACTCTGCATCTGGCTTAAGTATGTTGCTGGTAAATATACGATCTAAAATTATAAAGCTTACTGACATTCGAGTATACATACATACAGACAGACATGAGAACAATAATTACATAGTGTAGTAACAGACAAACTGTACACTATAGTAAAAAATGAGCTATATTTCTACCAACTTTTAACTAACTACTTTCTATTGTGCGTTTTTAAATACAATATAGTCGGACTATACTAATTACAATAGCGATTAAAAATATGGCATACAATATGTTTCCAAATTATCTGTATATTGCAGTTGTTAGTTGTAAAATAATTGGCCTCTTTCAAAAATAAGTCCGTTCACACGTACATCTGGATCCCAGCATTTTGGGAAATGACTGAAATATATCTGCCAGGCAGATGTCGGCTCTTTAGAACTTTTGCTAAGTACGAGCACATTCACTAATTGTTTTTCCAGTGAAATAGGAAAAAAATACTATTTTCGCTTCTTAAGAATATATAGCTTACAAGACTATTATTTTCTAGTTGCCTCGATATAAGAGTTTCATGCGTGTCTAGGCGTTTGTGTATTTCTAATGATAGGAAGATATTGAAGAAAAGAATGTATATTTGCTTCTATCATATAATTGATTCGAGTCATAAAATGTAGTTTATTTCTTCAAAGATTAACCGATCAGAACATACATCACTTATTAATATAAAATATTAGTATATGTAGGCTTATGTTAAATCCAATAAAAGATGTATATACAACACTAGTAAATGTAGAAACTAACAATGAGTAATAAAAAAAGATTTAAGTTTTGCGAGGTGGGCGGGAGGAAATAATTAGTTAAAAGTAAATCGTAGTATTTTTACATATCAAACTATTCTAGATAAAAAGAAAGTATTACATGGTCATAAAAAAGTATGACGTAGAAGAGATAAAAAAATTAAAAATATAGTAGTCCTTTATTTCATAGGAAACATTATTAAATTTCTTTCTTTATAAATAACATTAAGTAATTCAGAACAGCGATATTTTAGTATGAAAAATGGAAAAATACGTTCATTAATCTCTCAAGAAACAGGTAAAATCATATGTCACGCGCTGACAGAAAAAAACCCAAAAACTGGGTTACTTCCTATATTTTTGGTGGATTTATTGCTGGCTACTTCAGAGTCGAAAGCGGCCGTCGTGACTGTTAACTGACAGACGTCATTGCAATGAAGGTGGAACTGTCATTCTTATAATCATTAACGCCAGTAGTGAATATAAGATTTTTTAGAATGATCAACAATATACGATAATAAGCCGTACTATTTTGAAATTCGGTTTCCTCTAAATGGAACCAATTATGGACACATTTCTGAGTCACTGATTTTACTTCGAAGCAAGTAGTTGATTAGATACGGGTGCTCGAAACAACCTATTCAATTCAGGACTTCTTAGGCTTCAAGCAATTTTACAAAGCCATTAAATGAAACACTCGGGCAGGTCTTGAACCGACATCCACAGCGTTTCATGCTGTTATAACCGAATGAGTTACGAGCCCTACACGTCGTCGTCGACTTAACTTATCGATATATGCAACTCTTGCGCAATGTAAACAACCGTTACAATTATCTTCTACAAACATGATAAATGATTAGAGATTTAAAGCTCTAAGTTACTAACTTAAAAATTCAAACAAGTGAAAATCGTACTTCAAATGCATAACGACGGGTTTGTTGGTCCAGTGATAGCAATGTCTGGCTAATGATCAACATTCAACGGTTCGTGGGTTTGATTCCCACTAGGTCTAACATGTTTCTAATTTTCCAATTTCTAATTTTTCTGAAACATGTTGCTCTTCGTCTGGAAATATACAAAATGGGTGGTAGATATATAGAAATTCCGTCCGGGGTCACGCACCACTGTCCACAGATAGAACAGCCGTGAAGCTTACTCGCGTTCGGTGTTTCCGAATATCCAAAGCGAAAATTTGTCGACAGTGCATCTTGTTAGATGCTACAGGCACCTACCATCAAGTAACTCCATGCTATCATAAGCAAGGAATAATTAATGTTTGATTTATTTTTATCTAGATCTATTCGAGCCACTTGAACATCTGCTAGTCCTCCTAGGTCGTTATGCTTTGATTATGCTATGATTTGAATAATAATCGGTTTGAAGCCTTCGGTAATGTATTTTTATGCTACAACATCCGGCGGACGGAGTCGTGTCCTGTTTGCATACGAGCGTGGTTTGCAATTTTAATCAAGGCATTCAAATATCATATTCAATTATGATTCAGCTATCGATGGAATCTAGACATTGTTGTAACTTTTAAGTACCTAACAACTAAATAAAACACCTTTCAACGGTTTAAAACGCGTTAAACTGATTTACAATTTTAACTACGGTGAACGTTTCAGTTTAACGAATACATGTCGCGTTTTAAACCGTTAAAAAGTGTTTTATTAAAATTGGTACTCGCGTAAACTACAGACAATACGATCAATACAATTTAGTGTTAGCCCACGGTTAGCTTAGTGGCCACATTTCTTTGTCCGTTTTTAGTGTTATATATATTTTGCCTTTGAACCGTTTGAACGTAAAATATATATTTATATATACATTTGTGTGTATTTAATTTATTTAAAAACGTCGTTTCAACGTTCGTTGATTTTAACTGCGGCCCGCAAAGTATTGCGGGCCGCAGTTAAAATCAACTAAAAATAACTTTATATGTTTCGCGTTTTAAACACGTGAAAAGTGTTTTTCAGATGACCGATTATGATTTTCTAAATGCATAGACAATTGACACTTATATTTTAAATTAAACACGGTAACGGTTTAAAACGCGATATATATAAGTTAAACTTAATTGAAAATTATTTTTGCTACGGACCGACGTCGGATGCTTTGCAACAGCCGTGGTACCGGGGAGATTACAGATGGAGGGTGTCTCTGACGTCAAAGTAAGACGAAACGTCGGGCCCTAGTTTGTAATAATTTTCGATTAAGTTTATATCTTGTTTTCCACCGTTAAAGTGTATTATTTAAATGGTTACTACTCATGTAAATTACAGACAGTATTTGACACTTATCTTTTCAATTCCTTTGTGATTTTCTATATTTAATCGCACACACGACATTCATTAGGGATGATAAACATGCGCATTGACTGCAACGCATCACCATGGGCCATGTGTGAAGATAAACAGCATGTGAGCATCAAATGTGCTGCAAACAGTGCTGGCATTCAGCGAGCCGCCCTGGCCACGTGCTGTCCAGACGCCGCGCGCGCATGTGCCAGACATTTGCTAACGATCTGCTTAAGCTGCCTTTGATTGAATGTTTTGGTGACGAGTGTGTTGCGATTAGCGTAATGTGACGCTATATTCGACTTGACTTTAATGCAAAGATTGGTGTTATATGATAGAGGAGAATAAACAAGCATGTGTTTGATGGACGGTGAAATGCTGCAGCACCTAAACTACATAAGCTGCGGACCTATTTTTGCTGTGGACATTTGGAAGTCCAGAGAATGACTACTACCATTTTAATATTCCGATTTCCAAATGAAAACCGATATGTTTAGTTATAATAAAAACTAGCTGTGCCAGCGACTTCGTCCGCTAAGAATACATTATTATACAGCTTAAATAAAATGTCAGCTGAAGGCTAACTTTCAAGTATGTATAAACATAAACAGCTTTGACACCGTAGCTTCAGTAAGAACAATACAACGGAGCGAAATGGAGGTTGTTCAAAATTTTGTTCGTGTGATCATTTAATCTAAAAACCAATGAATATACGTGTTTATTTAAATAGCAGGAAGAGGTGTTATTATTTATTTATTAACACTCTATTGCACCAGAACCGAATTACAAAGAACCACCATTATTGTGCAATGGTAGACTAAATTGCAACAAGCGATCTCTTCAAGGCACATCAAAATTAAATATTTTTTCTCGACTGTCAAATGTTTTTCACCGTCCATGCTCTAAATAGATCGAAAACTCATCCTAATTAAAAGGGCTGCAACACTTCACGTTCCGTCAGGTAAAACAGAGCTGTCTGTACTTCTCTGTCATAAAAAAAAAAACATCTCGCACAGTTTGCGAAACTACAATCTTAATAATCTCTGTCACGTCATTGAGGGTACGAGGGTCGAATTCTTGATAGAGCACGGTCGCTGAAGTATGGAATACGTTATTCCATTGTCTTCGTAATGGCTTGAGCCTTTGAAGTTGCCGACAGAGCTCAATTTTGATGTCAACGTGAGATGAATTATATCTCTTAATAATATATATGAACATATTCGACACTTATAAGCTTCTGCGTTTTTACGAGAATTGTATTCGTAATAGAGTTGCCCGTGTATGGTATATGTAATTTGCTTACATGTAAGTAGTAGTCTAGCCGACTGCATCCAACCATTTTCCCAGGAGATGAACCCAGGACTCTTAACACGTTCAAACATTGAGTTACAGAGTCGATAAGAGTCGATAACCTATTCTTTTTATTTTCGCTTTAAAGAATCCATGCAGGCATTTAAATTACAAAACACTACATTCAGATGGCCAATATCATTCATCAAAAAGGATGACGCAATTTTAACTTATATTGTTGTGTAGTTAAATAATGTTAAAGGCATAAAATCAACATAAGCAATAGGTAGATATAAACGCATTAACTAACAATCCATAAGCTGCAGCAGAACAAGCAGAAGCTTCTGTAAAACAAAATATTTAAAAAATGATAAATTATAAAAAGGTAAACTATAAAAAGATACATATGGACATTTACATAAGCCGTTTGTGGCGTTCTTCTTGACAAAGGTGTCCTGTATACGATCAACATATAAATAGTAAATCTGGTTATTGTAGAGCTGTCAGGGCCACGTGCTCAGTAAGGATATGCGCGGGCGCAGAGCTATGGTGATACCCGTTGGTAAACATTGCTACTGATTCTAGTTGCGCAGATGTTACTCCAGTGTCGATAGAAAGAAAGATCAGACAGATTAACGTACTTTTTTATTTATGAAAAACAATTATCCATTGACTAAAGTTTACGACACGGGCAAGATTTGAATCGGCATCCTCACCGATAACGTGCTAGTGCTATAAACAATTGAGCTACCATATCCTGCAAGTCATCGTAAAATTTTATCTACGTATTGATTTTAATTTAAAGTGTTAGTTAAATCGAATTGGTTTGTACTTGAACGTAAATAACATTTAAATACTATTTTATGGACTAAGATTCAAAATAACAATCGTAATTCGTACTGTTACAATACAGAATGCCTCGATAATACTATTTCCATACTTCAAGACGTTTACACACAGCGTAAGAAAAAGTTAAAGTTTACAGATTGCGTAATTTTTACGTATTTCTAACAAAACAAACTACAGCCTTAATTTTCAATAAACTTAAAATTCAGAATTGTAAATCAGCATTGTTGTTTTGACAGAGGCAGCTGCTGAATGAATTAAGTCGATAATGGAATGCGGCCCCAACCTCTGACCTGCGCCAACGCAATTATTGGTCGCGATATTCTAATCGCATAATTAGTATCTAGAAAAACTTGTCTTCAATATCAAATAGTAAACTGTGAAGAATATGTATGTATGTTCAAGTTGCTATATTTATTGTATAGTGTAGGTTATAGTAGGGGTTGAAATAAAATCTTGGAGCTTAACTATATAATGGCATTCCATATAAAACAATCACATGAAATTCATATACTAGAAAATTAATAACTTTGAATTAGCTGATCCCCGTAAGGGTACAAACAGTATAGCGGCTCATCCATGCAATATATGAGTCATTGACATGCGAATTAAGTTCCACATCACCAGATTCGATATCAATAAATCGAAGTATAGGCGGACAGCTGTCCGGCGAACTCAGAGCACACGTGCGATGGTCACGACCGGGACGACCACGACTCGGCGTCACGAGAACACCGTAGCGATCACGGAATATTGCGTCATCAGGAAAGAATTCAGGAATTATTCCGAATAATTCAGGAAGAAGATTTCATCTATTCTAGTATATAAAGCTGAAAAGTTTGTTTGTTTATTTATTTAATTAAAAACATAATCTACTATTACAGAATTCAATTAATATCCATTGAGATAGAATTATTACATACTGTCTACACCTCTAGTTTTCGAATTATAAAATTATTAAATTACAAAAGAAATTATAGAATTATTAAATACATTTTTCATAGAGTGATGTTTTTGTCAAATCACCCAAGCTGCACGTAAAAATGTCGATCCCCTCCTGCAGTTTGTTGTCTAGTCTCAGCAACTGATGGTTCGTATTGATCTTTTAAATTATTTAAAGCATTTGTCGAGAAGGGCTAGGAAAATTAAAACAGCGAAGTGAATTTTCGAGGTATACAGCTACCCTAGAATTTCTACTAGACTCTAGAAATTGTTAATTCGTATATGGAATAAGTATGCAATAGAATCTTTCATACTAAAAATAAAGTTCGTTACTGAAATGATCATGAAAACTATTGCTGAAAAATAAGTTTGATTAACACTCTGTACGTTACTACACATTGCTTTGAAATAAATTAAATATTTCACATTTCAGAGAAAACAATAAAAAATATTGCGTTAAAAAGTGTATCCAATTTAAATAAAACACTTTAACGGTTTAAAACGCGATATATTTGTTAAACTTATTTGAAAATGATTTTTAATTTCGGCCCCGACGTTTCTGATGCTTTGCAGCAGCCGTGACGATGTTACAAATATTTTGCGTTTTAAACCGTTAAGGTGTTTTATTTAAATGTGTATTACTCGCCTAAACTATAGACAGTATTTATGTGTATCCAAGTAAATATAGTTTGACAATCTCTGTTTCAAATAACTAGAAATTTAAATCGAATTATTCAATAACACAACTTCCAACAACAAAGGAAATTACCAATAACGCTAATAAATACGAAATGATTATATTAGACGTACCATAAATTGAATATTTATTAGAAGCATTCCAAGTTTTATTATCAACGTGTCGGTTTATCAAATGTCTGGGTATTTCCGATTTTCTTACGTGATTTAGAATAGATTTCGATTTTGACAGCCGCTGTTTGTTAACGTGTAATTTATGAGGTGAGCACAAAGCGATAGTTTTATTAGCATTGTACGAAACGAGTAGATATATCTTAGATTATGGGTGGAAACTCAAATCTATTTTCATTTTCGTAATTATCTTTTGTTAAAATATATAATGTACAATATTTATAAGTTTTAACATTGTGTAATTGGAAATTACACAATGTTAAAGAACCCTTAAATTAATAATTAGCCTTAAATGAACCCAATAACTAAATTTATTTCTCTTACTTTTTGATAATTCTTCTAACTTTTATTTTCATTAAATGAATATTCATCAATTATTTTGAGAACGGCTAAACTGTAAAAACCATACACAAGTATTTATTTAAATCAACATTATAACAGTTTCAAACGCGAAATTATTTACAAATATATTTAACTAAGACCCGACGTTTCGGATGCTTTTCAAATACGTGGTTTCGCGTAGAAAAACATTAAAACATATATATTTAAAATATTTAATCAAACATAGGTCAGATCAAAGGTGAAGCTATTAAAATGTTAAAGTCTTAAGAGTATTTTTTAGCTCGAAGTTAACCAATTACAATAAAATATTTTATGCGCGTGAGTAATTAAAAATACTAACGCGCACTTAATTAAGCAGCACCTGCTAAAACTTAGAGCGATATTTTCACTCGTAAAAATACGACTTACAGCGTCCTGTCATACAAAACATAATTTATACTAGTCGGATTTTACGTGTAAACCACTCGCAATATGTTAAACACGCTGTAGAAAATCAATTCTTATTCCATTAGCAATAAGAGATATAGGTGTTCGTATGATTTAGAGTTATTTAAATTTTAACTCGTTGACTTTGATGGTTATTTTACAGCCCAGTTGTAATTACGAGGTTTCCTCTCCTCAATACTAGAACGCCGATTGTTTAGGAACATTAAAATTAAACGTATAAAAACTTTATGGCTGTCCGTTTGAATAACTCTTTGTTGTGGAATTGGTTTCGCGGTATTCGAGGTTAGAAATAGAAATCTCTTAAGGGTAAGTGCAAACTATGCCTCAATACTATATTTTGGTTTGAGTAGAACTATAAAAGTAAAGTTAAAGAGTCTTGATCTTGAGAATCTAGTAACTAAGTAGAGCACTTTTAACGGTTTAAAAATCTTTAAACTAGGAGCCAGCGTACCTAATTTTAAGTTCTGAAGTTTAAGAATCAATGTTTTGGGCTTTATTTTTGTAGTTCTGTA